TGCATCCACCTCATGTGTGTTCACAAGGACGACGACCCCGACGACTTTTTCCACGCTGAGAATATGTTGCCGCTCCCACCGTTTCAACAACGCATCGTCATGGGCAGGGAAGAACGGATAGACGCCAAGTTTGATGAAGAAAAAGAGGTCATTGGAGATTCTAGTGATCTTAGGGAGGGTATCATCTTCTTCTTCCCCCTCCCACCAGTCTGCAACAGGTCGTCCGTTGGACTGATTCTGAACAACCCGAGCCAAAACAAAAAGATGTACAAAGGGGCCGTCCATTTCAGACGACTTTCTGAGTCCGGAGCACAGATAACAGATCTCAAGCACCGGATCCCCTCAGCAACAGTGTTTTTCCACTCCGAAGGTAGGTCTATTCTTTTTCTATTTGTGTATGCTAATGATATACATGATGCAGAGGAAAAGCAAAGTTAAAATTCCACACTTATTATGAATTGCCGCTGTAAACATTTTTCTTATCGTATGTCCATTGCAGATGAGGGGAAGACAAGTCATGTTCAGCAGAAGGAAGGCACTGTGATCACCATGATCAAGGCGTCCCAGATACAACATAAGAAAGGTAAGAATGTACCATATTCTACATGCTTCTTCACCTTTTGCCTGAGAATTATCATTCCGTAGGACGATAGGTCAAACAATATGGATAACATTACATGGATTAAATTGCTAAACAATCTTATATTGATTACAGGTGGGAAGAGGAAATACAAAACGCGGCATGTTGGCGAGTCCAGCGACAGTGGCCCCCCAGTAAAGCGACCGAAGCAAGGTATGGACGGAGTCATGCTGTGAAAGAATTTTTTCGGAAATATCACTTTGATAGCAATACTCGTATTTTAACTGATTACAAACTTAAGATCCAATGACCCAATGTAGCCATCTACCATTTTTCAGCTGAGGAGATAAGTCCATGTAGAAAAATTATATTCTTGACGCAACAGTCCATTTTAACCGATAGGACATTCGATCAAATACTCTTTCATGTGGCCTGCATAGAACTCTATAATATAACTCATCACTCCACGGCCTTTGGACAACTGACAATTTCCTGGAAAGGTTAACCTCATTTCATCTGAACTGCTTTTGACAAAACATCATATGAAAAAACATCTCAACACTAGTAACAACAACATTATACGCCTATGTAGCAACAGTTTTGGCGAGCTAACTTTGTATACTCCACCTCTACGGAGGATGAAAGATGATGATGATGCAGCAATGTAATCTTCTTTGTAACCGTCAAATTTCATTGATATCTTTAGACTCTGAACGCAGTCAGAGTTCAATCGAAATACAAGTATTTGGGGTTATTCTTGTGGTGTTTTATATACATATGTATATACAAACACTGTGTTTCCCGGCCTACATAAAATATCAAGCAATTTCATGTGACAAGGCAAGTGAATGAGTGTTTCCTTGTTTTTGACCTGATTTCTAGGATCTGCAAGAAGGCCTTTGGTGCTGTTGCTCAATGATGAGTATGGGACCAGAAACGGTGGAATATCCACAGTCAACCGTCAGATCGGGTGCTTTCTGGCTTCAAAAGGAGCAAAGGTGTTTTGCACAGTTCTGAATGCCACACAACAAGACAAGGATGACGCAGCTATAGATGGAATTCAGCTGCTTTTCCCAACACCGTTTGAGCGTGATCCGAGAGAGGCAGAGCTCTATTGGCTGACCTTTGATCACCAGATCCGATATCCAGACCTTCCCTCACACGTAGACTTCATCGTCGGCCACGTATCAATCACGAGCCACGCAGCAAGACGGATGAAGGAACGCTTTCCTGGCGCAACAATCGTCCAGGTCACTCACGTGATGCCAGAAGACACCAGTCAGTACAAGGGTGACGAGAGGGTGTTGAACATTGGACAGGAGAGCAACAACATTCTGGATGACCTACGGCATGCTGATGTTATGTTCTCGGTTGGTCCATTGATATATGACTACTACAGGCATCAGACGAATCAGCTAACACTACAACATCATTAACTCTTGCCAAAGCCGTCTGACATCTTCATCGATCTGAAATTGAAGCCACCCGCCGACACGGAAACGAAAGTGGTGCTGTCCATTGGCAGGGTGAAGGGTGTGGAGAGGCTGAAAGGCGTTGATCTGGCTGCGACGACCATGGGCAAGGTGATGAAAGAGCTACCCCACACGAAGTGGAGGCTTCGCGGCTTCAGACGTGATGATTTTCAAGCAAGCAGGAGCATCATCGAAGCCAATACGGGTAGATTCCAGTTCGTACCCTTCACACCTCTGGAATACGGTACACAGGAGGAGCTGTGCGAGGACATGAGAAAGGCCGATGTCGTCCTGATGCCGTCTCGTGCAGAGCCATTCGGACTGGTTGGTCTGGAGGCCATCGCCGCAGGTGTCCCAGTCGTGATTTCCAACAAATCTGGTCTTGCAAAGTTCCTGACGAAACAAGATCCCGAGTTTGACCGCACGATCGTAGAGATCGACGATGACGATGAGGAAGCCGCCAAAACGCTGTCCAAGCGCATCATCAAGATCCTGACGGACGGACCCAGAGAGTTCAAGGCCGCACAAAATTTGAAGAAGAAGCTGCTGGACTCAGAGTACTGGGCTGAATCACACAGCAAGCTCCTCCAAACCTTTGGCCTGGAGGGCTGAACGTTTAACCAATGGCAAATGGCACTTGGCAGTTCTACTTAATATGGCTTCAGAACCCACCGTGCACACGCATCTTGATCAACCGTCTGTCAAACATGTTGTATATACCAGTAAACAGGTGTACATGTATATTATTCCTTAAGTCATCTATTCTGCAAACCAATGGATATGTGGGTAAAGCATCAAGTGTCCATATCGACCTGGTAACGGGACTTTCTCAGATGGCAGTACTCTGCAGATGCTCATTCTGAACTGTTGTTAACATAATGAGAACAATCAACATTCCATATAAGCCTGTACACAGTGGATCCCTACAAGCTCTTGTACTTTTATTGCTATGCAACATTAGATTTCATACTAGGATTTGATACTACAGATTTTCCAGTTAGCTGAAGTTGACATGCTTTAGATGCTTTGACTCTATTGTACATAAAATTTTATATACAGTATTATAGTAAGTGTAAGATTAAATGATGTTTGAAAACGACGCAGACGCTCCAGTTTAGATGATGATTGTGTTTTAGAGTTGTCAGGACTTGATAAACAGATCTTAGAGTTGGACGGCATACCATTACAGATGTAGATTATATGAACTTTCTCTTCATTCACTCACGTTTGGATTTGTTTGTTTTTTTACTGTAAAGAAGAAGACGTTAGGAACCAATTATAGATTGTAACTTTTCCTTATCAATACCTTCCCACTCTTCCACTGTAAAAAACGACAATAATGGAACTATTGCACAATCCTATTACTTCTCTCTAAACTCTTAACAACCTTCCTGACCAAATATGGTTATGTTTTGACTTGATTCTGGTTGAAATGACCGCCTGTGTTCTCCCAGACGGAAATGTTACAAACAGGATGTAGCGTTTCCTTCCAGTTCTTTCCATGCATCATATTTTGCCTAAGCATCAAAAATCAAATTTAAATAAGACGGTGGGGTGTGGTTCGCACATCTATGTCTTCTCCGAAACAGAAATGCATCGCTACGTGACGACTCACTCCAAAACCAGTGGTGTAAGAAGACCCCACCAGGACGCATCCCTTGCCTCTTCACAGCCACATCTTTTGCATGGGGGTTGAATTTAATAGGATACACGTGTGCGATATTGAGACAGACATTTGGAGGAATCTGAGCGATCGTTTCACAGCACCCTTTGATAGACCCTACTTCTTTGCACTGGAGAACCAGCTGTATACGCTGATACGCACCACGAGCCTGATCTCGGAACGTATCCGTGAGTCGACTCGTATACATGTACGTGTGTATACGACCGGACACAACAGATCAAAAAGAGTAATATTATTAGGGATTCACCAGTGAAATATAGCATTTACAAAAACAAACACCATAATAGTGCCTAGAAAATTAGAGCTGGACATTCTATTTAGAATGTTATTTCCATTTTAGCATGAACAGTTGTACCAATTGGGCTCAAATAAATCAAAACTAGTCCACGGTTATTATGGGGTTCTTCTTACTACCCATATTCTCAAAATGTCACTGGGAACAATATTACTCATAACATCTTGTATCAGAGCATGTTCACATGAATATATCTTAATTTGCTAAAAGGCATCGCCATACGTTTCTACTCTCCATAACGTGCACGAAATCAACAAAATCTTTAACGTTTTCTTCACACGTCAAGGCAACGCCATACGTTTCCGCTCTCCATAACGTGCACGAACTAAACAAAATCTAGAAACGTTTTCTTCACAAGGCATCGCCATACGTTTCTACTCTCCATAACGTGCACGAAACAAAATCTAGAAACGTTTTCTTCACAAGGCATCGCCGTACGTTTCTACTCTCCATAACGTGCAGAAACAAAACAAAATCTAGAAACGTTTTCTTCACACGTCAAGGCATGGTCATGCGTTTCTGCTCTCCATAACGTGCACGAACAAAACAAAATCTAGAAACGTTTTCTTCACAAGGCATCGCCATACGTTTTTACTCTCCATAACGTGCAGAAACTAAACAAAATCTAGAAACGTTTTCTTCACACGGCATCGCCATACGTTTCTACTCTCCATAACGTGCAGAAACTAAACAAATCTAGAAACGTTTTCTTCACAAGGCATCGCCATACGTTTCTACTCTCCATAACGTGCAGAAACTAAACAAAATCTAGAAACGTTTTCTTCACAAGGCAACGCCATACATTTCTGCTCTCCATAACGTGTACGAACTAAACAAAATCTAGAAACGTTTTCTTCACAAGGCATCGCCATACGTTTCTACTCTCCATAACGTGCACGAAATAAACAAATCTAGAAACGTTTTCTTCACATGCAAGGCATCGCCATACGTTTCTACTCTCCATAACGTGCAGAAACTAAACAAATCTAGAAACGTTTTCTTCACAAGGCATCGCCATACGTTTCTACTCTCCATAACGTGCACGAAGTAAACAAAATCTAGAAACGTTTTCTTCACAAGGCATCGCCATACATTTCTACTCTCCATAACGTGCACGAAGTAAACAAAATCTAGAAACGTTTTCTTCACAAGGCATCGCCATACGTTTCTACTCTCCATAACGTGCAGAAACTAAACAAAATCTAGAAACGTTTTCTTCACAAGGCATCGCCATACGTTTCTGCTCTCCATAACGTGTACGAACTAAACAAAATCTAGAAACGTTTTCTTCACAAGGCATCGCCATACGTTTCTACTCTCCATAACGTGTACGAACTAAACAAAATCTAGAAACGTTTTCTTCACAAGGCATCGCCATAAGTTTCTACTCTCTATAACGTGCAGAAACTAAACAATTCTGTTTGTCTTTTAGACTTGATTATTTATCACATTCATTTAGTTGAGATTGGAAATTCAATCGGAAACCTGTGATAACTGGAAAAACTGGTGATAACTCCTTTTACTGCGAATACTTCTTTTTTAAAAATATAATAGAATAGTTTCACTACATAGACACTTCATACCTTTTACCTCATTAATTCACGAAAGAAGAATTTCATTTTCTCTATCCAGTGAATTAATGAAATAGTGACCTTCTAACTCTATATTCCATAGATAAAGATTTCATATCTATTTTTTTGTAGTGAAATAATGTAATATCCTTGATACAACCGTTAAACTAGACTGAGATAATAAGACGGAAATTTTACGAAGCTTAGAAAAATAATGAAAAAAACTTGCAATGTTTGAGTACTTCCTGGCTTAAAAGCAAATCAATACAAAGAGATAAACAATAGAAATGTTAGGACTTATTCAATGTGTGAGTTCTGAGCCTATGTATTACGCTCATTCATCTAAGATATACACGATATATAAGGTTATCATTCATCTAAGGTATACACGTCCCACACTAACCACAGCCAGTATACTGACATGTCGTCCTGAGGTCATTCACCCCGGTACTACGAAGTGCGTCATCACGTGCGCTATGGATCATGGGAAACCTACCGAAGCTTATTTGCCCTTCTTACCTGCGGACGTAACGGACCAGTTCTGTCTTCAAGACGCCGTGAGAACTCACCTGTACGTCTTGTGACGTCAGAACTAACAGCCTTCGGTTCCTGGAGAGTCTAAGAGCCCCGCAGGGACCTTAAAGACTGGCAAAACGTCGCCAGACTCTCCCAAGACACTTCTGGAAAAGTTCAGGTAAACCCGGAAGTAACAGGTGCATAACGGTGCACCTGCCAGATGTAGCAGCGCCTGAAGTACACAAACTAAAGAAACTTTTACCACAGCCCTTTAGCACACAGATAAACTGTTGATGTTGAATGAATTAGAAAGTATTGACGATATGTCTGTATGGCTTTGAAATTATCGCTCCTTTGTTGGTACAGTTTGATCTACAGTGTTCGGAAACGCTTTATAATTTGTAAATCAGGTATGTCGTCAGCGAGCTATACATGATGCAATGTCTGTTCCACTACCATAATATTGTTAAGGAAGAGAAATGATATATTTGTGGGTCTGTGTTTGCGTTACAGGAAAGCACTAGATCCCTCTAGTCTTAGTTACGACAGTGTCACTAGCCAGGTGGTGTGTATCTATCTGTAGGGTCAGACCAGGCATGGACGGAAGAGAACAGGAGACAATGGAGGAAGACAAGGAGTCCGGGTCAGAGGATTCCAGGTCTGAAGAGTCGAGTGGGAAGAAAAAGGAGGAAGACAAGGAGGTAGAGTAAAGAAAACATTATAAAAAGAGAAGTGATGTCACACACAGACAAGCCTCACAGCTGTGCATATAGTGGTGTATATCTATAACAGGCCTTTTCCTCTAGCCTGATGTAGATGTAAGGTGGCCTCCTTGCGGCAGGACAGCTCGGTAGTCTTTTTTTTACATTTATCTGTACATAATTTGATGTTTGTTTTCATGTGTTTGTACCATGTTATAGGTATGTATAGTATGGGCCGTTGAGTCATTAATAAACAATAAACATATGTGAGCTATGCACAAATACAGGAGATAAATGATATATCTTTTTATAACTTTGCAATGAGAGACATGAAAGGAAGTGAAATATCAGTATGACGGATAAATGAAGGGATAGGTGTTGAATCTTGATGAGTGTTGTTCTGATTGACTGAGTGTTGACAGTTGTTTCTCCTGTTCCTGTCTGCCGCCGCTATAGGCGCTGCGGGACGCTGCAGAGGAAGGAGACACGGACAGAGTGAAGCAGCTGTTAGCGGGGGGAGTCAATCCTAATGCTGCTGGTGGCTTTGGGGTTTGTTGCCATGTCTTTCGTCATTTTGCTTATATATGGTGATGAAACATTTAAGGATGTGCAATGAAAATCAAGAGGCAGGAGGGGCAAACCGCTTATAAAAGACATAGATGGGAAGGGCAAGGCCGCACTGGTCGCTGCACCCGGATTCAGCTTTCAGCTTGTCTATAACATATCCGTAACATTTTAAAACAAAACAATACTTGGAATTTTGTAACATTTGTACCAGTCAATAGCTTCAGTAGCTCCAACGTTACTTCTACTAGTTTACTTCAGCCCGCCATGATGTGTTTTACAGCAACGGACTCCACTGCACCAGGCAGCCTGGAATGGCCACCATGAAACTGTATCAGTTTTACTGACAGCTGGTGCAGATGTGAACGCACGGGACGATTATGTAGGTAGACCAACTATTGTGATACAAGAAATATTTCTGCACCATTTTGTAAGATTTGACATTCATTTTTACATAACGGCTGATGTGATGACTACCTTTAGAGTTGCCACCGACACGAACATTTGTCCGTCCTGTTGTCGTGCTAAAGACCATTTAATGTCAGCTGTATAGCGGTTTTTAACTCCGTTAGAATTGTCAACAAAAGAACTGCACATTCGTCCGACCTGTTGTCATGCTGAAGACCATCTGATGTATTTTACAGGAAAACTCTCCCCTGCACTTGGCAACCTGGAGTGGCAACCATGAAACTGTATCAGTTTTACTGACAGCTGGTGCAGATGTGAACGCACGGGACGAGTGGGTAGGTAGACTGATTGCTGTGAAACAAGAAATATTTCTTTATCATCTTGTAAGATTTGACATCATCTTCTCAATCTTCTTACTTAGTGGTTTATTTGCTGACTACAATTTAATATATAACTTGTATGATTGACCTCTGACCTCTCAAACAAGCTTTTACCTCGAGCTCATTACTTGGTGTATATAGAATAGGATAGGTTAAATAAGTAATTAGTTACAGGTTGTTGTATTTTATGTATAGCAGTAAGAAGTGTACGTCTGTGTTTAAGTCTGTAACGTGTTTTAAGACTCCAGGAAGAATAGTGGGTATAAGTGTATACTCACTAATGGAGATCATTCAAATAAACAAATAAACAAACTTGTTGCCAACATGAAGCTGGTACGGATTGGAACGCATGGGGCTACACAGCATATCATCAACTGTCGGAATACATCATACATTTTTTAGTGTCATAAAGCATGGGTTGCACATACATTATTATGCAAATGGTGCCCTGTATATGTACAATTTGGGGCTATTTTCGTGCAACGCATCACACCGCAGCGGAACGCAACGAATGCGGAAGTAGCTACGCCATCGCATGGCAAAAAAGGCCAGGGGTCGATGACCTGATTAAGACATGAAATGGAAAAAAATATTGTGCAAAAAATGTCAGCAGGATTTAAGTTGCAGTGTTACCGTGATTGTCCATTACTAGTATTAGAAACAACCAGTATGAATGGCAAATTAAAGGTAGGGAATGGTTTCAAGAGAGCTTGGAGTCAGTGAGTGAGGTAAATATATACATTTATAAGGGGGTGCTATTTGATCATATTAAGGATGAAAAATTACACTGTCAATGCCCCTACAGGAACACACACCCCTCCATGACGCAGCTAGACAAGGTCACCCCAAGTGTGCGGAAATACTGCTGCAGCACGGGGCTGATACCGGTCTCAGGAACAAGGTCAGTCGATTCTTCGGCTTCTCTGGTAAATACCTGACCACCAATCCAGCAATACAATATTGTTTTTTACCTCCGGGTAGGGATGTATCCCGTGCGCGGAGGTTTTGTAGGGGAAGATGCCTTTTACGTTCGCAGCCGTTTCTCGCGTTTGGGTGGACGGATATGTCTGGGACTTGGTATACGTTTTGCTATTGGGCTGTAGATGGTGCACGTTGTTTTCGTTTTTTAGTATGTGTGTTTTAGTGCGTGAAAATGATGCGTTTTGAGAGCGTATGGACACCCCTTGTGTGTGAAAGTGGTTTTGTCTTTTGATTTTCGGCGTGTATTAAGTGTCGCAGGCGTCGTCCACATCTGGTGAGAGAGGGTGTCAGGTATCGAGGAAAGAAATATTATCGCAGTTGTGTCTCGCGTTGGGGTAGACGGGACCCATGGAAATCCAGCTCGGTACGCTGACTTCCGGGTACCGCGTTTTTTTTTTATCTGGCTCGAACATCAAAAAGGGCGCATAGAAATTGTCCCGAATATTCTTTTAGAGTCTATTAAATCACCCTTATAGGATGTTGCTTACTAGTCGTAGAAAAAAACGTAGAAAGCAGCGAAAATGTGCCTCTTCGCTGATAAAGAAATTCTGTCTCGCTGCCGGCGCGATACCGCTTATCCAATCGGAACGCAGGTCATGTGAGGTGAACCAATGAGAGTGTAGATCTCGCGCTGCTATTTACATATCAAAATGGCGCACGCATGGTTTTGTACAGCGATGTGGAGAACACGTTTTTGCCAAGTTTTTTATCCCGGAATTTTCATAGTTTTGACTGATTTTTTTGGCACGCCGTGATTACGCTACAAATGACACACTAGAGGAGACAACAGATGAGTGATCATTTTACAATCGAGAAGAACTTTTGATGAATGAAACATGAATCAATGAAACCTTGCTGATTGCGATTTGTTTTCGAAAATATTATTTTGTCTCGTGTTTGTAACGTTCGCTCAAAATGAGGTTCTAAGTTTTAACCGTAACATGAAAGATATGAACACGCTTCTGTGCATGTTTTGATGTGTTTTTTTTGACGTGATTTGAACTAGTGTGGGATAAGTGGGGAGGGATGGCAGCCGCGGGGGGAAGCGGCACGGTGGTAAAATCTGGGTTGCAAAGTCCCCACATGCCATAGAACCCGAACTGTGTTCGATCGTGTTCGATCTGGACAATTCGAATCGAACCCGCGTTCTATTTCGGGGTCACCTGCGGTTATTTACAATAAAACGGCAAAACAAGCCTTTCTGCCTCCGTGCCTCGCAACAGATAAAAAACAACACTTTTCTATAGATACAAACAGTTTCGTGGACAATACATGTCCGCTATCATTTTTTTGTGGACATGTAACATGTAGCGAAGCTACTGTCGTATCCTTGGGTGACCTTGAATACTGTAATGATTCTGTACGTCAGTATGAATAACACAGTGCAGACTTTTGGTTGACATGACATGTCTGCAAAACTCGTTTTAACCTGCAAGCATGGAAAGTCAAGCATACCCCATTCACGGCTCAAAATGACCGTTACGGTTGTCCCGAAAATCGTATTTTAAGGAGTTTTGAAAAATGGCCTCAATTTTGCATTATGGATAATCTAGTGCGAAAAATGTAAAAAAAAAAATAATTTTTTCACCAATATGTCGACAAAAACTAGACTTAAAATCAGAAATTGAAAAATCCTTAAAACACAATTTTTGATCTTATTCCTAGTCATCGAAACATATAAAAATCGGGGATCTGGGGTGATATAAGTAGCCAGGTTAAAACGATGTTTGCCTAAAAACATGGCATGACTTGTGGTCGGAAACCCGAAAAAATCGTCTTTCGGAGCGAAATTTTGAAAAATCAATGATTTAACATACACAGATAATATTAAAAGGATGTTAAGGCAATAATTTCATTTTAATTTGACGAAATTTACCATTAAATCCTTTTTGTTTATTTTCAAGTGTTTTACTGGTAGGCCAAAATCGGCCAAATAGCGTCTTGTAACACGATACCTTTTAGAACGCGCCTAGCAATGGGAAAGAATGCCGTAGTGACAGACCGCCGTGCGGAGCGGCTTGATAAATTTTCTAGAGCAAGTTCCGCGCACTGGAGTTTCTCACTCGGCCGTTTGTGTAGGTGTTTGTTTACATTATCGCTGGTCACTGAGGGTCGGGCAGCCAGATTCGCCACGGGATGCCCCCTGTCCTTTCTATTTTTGGGCTCCAGTCGGCTAGGGGGGATTAGTGATTTCACAGATCATTTAGCCAATTACAAACATTTCGAAACTTTTCGAAAAAATGGTATTCGCGTGAACACACACACACACCCAGACACCATTCACTAATTTAAAGAACAGTTCCAACATGCACCCAACATTCTGCAACATACATTTCAATACCCAGAGGTACAAAATCTACGATTTTCCTTGTTTTTACTTCTTCTGGGAGAAATATTTAAAGTAAAACTTAAAAAAAAAGATAATCCACATACATCATAATGATGATACTACATACATTACTGCCCAAGGCAAGGAGAAGCTGTTGTTGGGATAAACACACAAATCACGATGTGTTTATTGTGATATTCCTGCATCGTATCACATAAACACCTACAAACTAATTTCTTTCTAGACAGGGGTTTTGCTGCTGTACCTATTGTATACTGTGTACTATATATATTATGTTTTAGATACATAATACATATTGTCTACTCATTCAGTCGTGTTTATTTCCAAAATTTCAACATTCATAAGGCTATAATTCACTGCATGTTCATTCCTAGGATGGTCGAACGGCGGAGGACATCGCTGCAGATGAGGACACCAGTAAAGCTTATCCGGTCATCAAAGATGAGAAAGACCGAATCACTCGTGGTAGAAAGGAAATACTGAAGCTTCTCCGACAACAGAATAATGTGAGTCGCTTCAAAACTTACGTGATGCAAAATCATAAAGCATTATATCTAAAGAATATGATTGACATGACTAAATTTCTTGTCAAACACTTCGGTTCACAAACAACTGCTGATAATGTTAAACTACAAGTTGAAGATGATACAAAGTAGTTTTTTTAGTTCCCCTGGTACGCATGCTAGTATTTGAATTTTTTACCATTTTCGCATGCGCGAAAATGGTAACTCAGACGAGATTGAGATTGGATCAACGGATGGATGGATCAACGGTTCCACCCTTCAACGGCCATGCAGACATGCTAAGTCACCGCATGTCGCTAGATGTCGTTGTTGCGACGGCCATGCAGACATGCTGAGTTGCCGCATGTCGCTAGATGTCGTTGTTGCGAGTGCACTTTTTACCATTTATGCCTTGGACGTTTGTATACTTTCCATTATGGTTGCTAATTTCAAAATCATAGTTCTATTAATGTTGCATAACAAAGCTGCTGACAAAACAAACTTAATTTGTCTTGAACAATAACTTTATTTTATTATTTGCCAAAAATGTTGATAAAGACATGTCTATAATCACAGTAATCAAGGATTTTAATAAACTGCATAAATTATGTCAATGAGCATTAGCAGTGTGGATTAGTCTAGATGTTCAGATTTCCATTAGCCGGCAGTCCAGAGGGTCACACGTCCGACCAATCAAGGCGCTGCAGGCAAAGCTTATTAAAAGCCTCCTTTTCAGGCGTTCCCGGATCGGTGTTTGTGTGTGTGTGTGTGGTTGGGGGGGGGGGTGTATTTTCTGACCAAACGTAGATCGCACGCAATAGAAGCTCCGGCCTACATAGCTGTCCGTGGAACTATTGATATTACCTGGGTGCCTAACTTTCACCAACATGTCTTTTGTATTTTAGGAAATTAATTAATTAATGAGTGAATGTTTAATTAACTTAAATAGGTATTGCATTGTTTGGCCAGGTATTTTCCATTGACAATTTTTAATGGATCAGGTTGATTAAATGATATAATGTAAACAATTATATATGATTAGTAAAAGATGACTTTTGAAGTTCTCTTCGAGTATCATTTTAGGGTTGAACCAGGGTCAACGCGAAAAAAATCATGATCCGGTGATCGACATCATGCCCCCCCGCACACTTCATGTATTCAGTGTTCTAAATACCCGTCTTCAGTCTGCAATTTGCAGATAGATTTTCAAGATAAAAATTACACAAATCTGCAATTTGAAGAATGAAAAAAAAAACTAATGGTCCTCACAACTTCATATTCCCTTTGTTTGACCCGCCCGGCGCCCAAATCCGCTGCGATTCAAGCCGCGGCGGCTTCCCGAGCCATGCAAATAAACCTAGTCCTGACGCCACAGCCTCCGATTTCCACCGAGCCAGCCCCGAGCGCATGCCGACAGCGAGGGATGTGGCTCAGATTTCCGACGATTTCCTTATTTAGATCATTCGGAAGACTTCGGGTAGCAAACAAAATGGCCGCCATGCACATGATTTTATACTAGTAGCTTCGCTTCTCAACCGAAATGAGGAAGTTTAACCTCATTTGCAGACTTTAGCGGCCATGGAGTTGATTTGGGGAAGTGCTGAGACGCGATTTCGCTACGGCATATGGGATTTTGCCGCGGAGGGAGTTACGTACGCCGGCAAAAACTTGCTTCAGCGATCGGCTCCAGAAAATTTATCTTTATGCTGCCGCTCAAGTCTTCGAAGGTGGTTTAACGAAGTTTATATAAATAATAAAGCCACTTTGCGTAGATCGATCTCCGTTTTCTTGCGATGGTATGAAAATTCAAGTACAGTATATTTTCAAAACGTTTGATATTTCTTTGTTCGTTGCCACATGTTGTTTATTTATCTTATTGTCATGTACAGTTACCAGCGTGAGTCTGAGTCGAGCCATTGTTCTTATGTGGCCGTTAGCACATGTTGTTTAAACAGACAGCAACATTGAAGAAAAGAACCGAGTTAACAGACATCGGCACGTTCCTTGAAGTCAGGTTTCCCGCCGTATTTAAATAAGAAATGTGTGGGCCCGCGGCGTTTTGAAAAGACGCGACGCGCTTTGGAAAGACCCCGCGCCGTGGCTCATTCAAATTCGCTACATTTTTTGCTAAGTTTAATGTCTTCACCCACGATTTTTGACCGTCAATGTTGACGGTAAGGACTTAAATTTTTACCGTCCGACGGGAAAAAATACCGTCAATTGACGGTAAAACGGGCGCTGGCTAAAGCCCTGGTTGAATGTCACGAGGTTTGTAAACTTAGATGTTGGGGACAAAGCCATAGAAGAGATTTTGAATAAAATTATATATATATATATTAACGTTACTTATAATTTAAGTTAAAATGTACTTTTGTGTCTCATTTCTTTCTGTTTAAAAGACTCTTAAGTTAAAAGAGAGAAAACAGGTTATAAACTGTTATATACTTGATTTTTGTAATGTTTTAAACTTA